TAACCAGGTGTAGGTTTTTTTCCTCCAGTGCTTTTTTAAAAATTAACACTAGATCTTTCCTGGGTAGTTTAAGTAACATTAACAGAATATTCTCAGTTCCTCCCTGTTGTCACTTATAACATTGCTGTCACTCGTTTTACTTATCTCAAAGTTATCATCACCAAATATTGATGCATTATTGCTATTGTTATTTTAAATAAACTATTATATGTTAGGCCAGTTAAGAATAAGAAGAAAATGTTTTATTCACCTTTATTTCTTTCTTTAATACTGTTCTATTTTTATAGATCTAAATTTCTGACCTGTTATTTTCCTTCTGTCTGAAATGACTTTTTAACATTTCTTACAAGGAAGATCTACTAGCAAAAAAAAAAAAAACAAAACAAAAACAAACTCTCACTTTTTGTTTGTCTGAGGAAGCCTTTGTTTCTCCTTCACTTTTGAAGGCTATTTTTACATGGTACAGAACTTTTTTGTTTCTTTTTTTAAAAAATTTTACCTGTAAATATTTTATTTCACTCTTCTTGCTTGCTAAGAGAAGTTAAACGTCATTGCTGAGAGTTCTTGGTTTTTAGGGGAAGTCCTGTGTATTATAGTTCTTGCTCTTGTTCATCTGTAGATAAGGTGGACCTGGCTGACCTCCCTCATCATCTGATTCTTTCAAAATTTTCCCTTGTCTTTGGTCTTTTTTCCTTTGTCTAAAGTGTAAACGCAATATGGCTAGATGTCATTTTTGAGTATTTATTCTGTTTGATGTGCTTTGTACTTCCTGGATCTGATATTTTGTGTCTGTCATTAACCAAACAAATTGAATTCATTTTAACTTCAAGTAGGTCCTCCGTTTCTTCTCCACCTTGTATCATCAAAATGCATAGTTAGACCTTTTGCAATTTTCCCACAGTTCTTGGATCTTCTGTTGTGTCTTTTATTCTGGTTTTTCTCTTTACATTTAAGTTTTGGATGTCTCTATGGAGAAACCTTTGTCACTGATTCTTTCCGTGGCCATGTTCAGTCTACCGACGAGCCCATCAAAAGCATGCTTGGTTTCTGTTACTGTGGTTTTGACCTAGCATTTCCTTTTGATTGTTAATCTTAGAGTTCCCATGTTTCTGATTACATTACCAGTTCTTGTATATTGCCCACTTTTCCCAATAAAGCCCTTAAGAAATTAATTGTAGTTGTGTTAAATTATCTGTCATACAGTTCCAATAACTCTGCCATACTTCAGTCTAGTTCTCATGCCTGTTTTGTCTCTAGCCTTTGGTGAATTTTTGGTTGGCTGGTTGGTTTTGCCTTTTAGCATGCCTGATACCTTTTCATTGAGATCTGGACATGATGTGTCTATCAAGTAAAAGGATCTGAGATAAATGAGGTTCTTTAGTATGAGGACTGATGTTTATCTAGCTGAGTTAAACTGTGTTTACTGTTTGCTAGAGCTGGGTGTTGGAGGCCAAAATCTCGCTTGTATCCTTTTTATTCTCCCTGATTGTCCTTGGTTTTCTGTAGACCTTAAGTAGAGTGTTAGTCTACAGCTGTCAACATTAAACCCCTTGTATTTTATAGGACCCTGTCGTGTGATAATTTGGGGTGGGGGTGGGAACCAGAGCTTCATTCTGTAGTTTTAAGATTATAGATCTCTAAGCCTGAGCTAATCAGCCATTTCTCTTCCCCCAGGTCAGTTAGGCTCTGGTAAAATACAGTTTCCCTTGAAGTCAGGCCTTATTCAGGACAAGAGAGCTCTGGTGTATTTCAAAATGGTTCACTTTCCCTTCCCTTGCTGAAAGCAGGAGCGGGTTTCCTGCAGTCTTCTCAGTGAGAACCTAGTAGGGCTCCTGGAGAGACAAAAATCACAAAACTTCAAGGACTTTCCCTTTTGAAACTGAACCCTTTCCTAATTTGTTTGTTTGTTTTAACTCTTTGTGATAGTCTGCACTAAATCTTCAGCAATTAATCAATTGCAGTTGAAGTTGTTCCCTCCTCAGTACTGACTGCAGCTGAGGACTTCTGCTCCTGGGCTTTTGCTTTCTGCACACTGTGATTCTCCATATCTGCTTGGCTGTCTCTTGTTTTCATGACAGTCATTTTCCCTGAAAGCGCGGTTCTCTGGTAGGTCTCAAAACAGTTGTTGACTTTCAGTTTGTTCAGCTGTTTTTACTTTTCTGAGGTCAAGAGCGACTACTTCTAAGCTCTTCGTACATAGGACTAAAACCAGAAGGTCCTGTGTCTTTATTAGAATAAAAATATAATTTTAGATCAGATGTAGTCCCTTAAGCTTTTTCTTTTCCATCTATGAGCAGTTTCCAGGGAATATTTGAACACAGATGATGTCTGGACAGAAATACTTTTTCCATCTCTTTTTGAAACTGTCTTTTCATTTTTTAAATTTTTCTAAATGCAGATTGTAGTCCTATGCAATCTGGAAAGCAATGAATGAATCCTTATGCTTTCTTCCTAAGCCTCAATTTAGCAATTAGAAAGGTTTTTGTTTGTTGGTTTTTTAATCTGAAACATTTATCTCTCTCAAAAAAATGTAGCAGAATGGACAGTATGGAGAATTTATTTACCATTTTAGAGTATCATCATTGTGATAGACATTATCTTGTGAATATGAAGAGGAACAAGGTAGATACCCAAATCATAGTGTTCTAACACTAGTCGAGTAACACGTAAATAAAATCAAAGTAGTGTGTTAGATAATTTCAGTAATGTCCAGAGGAGCATAGAGGTGGGACATTTTGCCCTACCATAGAAAGGTGGGAAGAGAAAGAGAAGCTTTTCTTGTTGCTTTAAATGTGAAAGTATTTCATGATTTCACAGATAGGAAATTTTCAGAAATGTTAAGCCACTTATTTTAGTTGATTTCATTTAGTTAAGCCCTTTGTCTTGAAATGACAGGCCAATCATTTTGTTCCTTATATAACAGAGATAGAAAGCGAGAAATCACCCCACAGGGGAGATGGCCATGCCGCAATCCCTTCTTCTCCATTCTCCCCTTGGGATCTTGGGCATGCACGCACACGTGCCCGATGTGAGTTTTAAGCCACCGGGTCCGGGACGCGAACCGCAGTCAACTACATGGGAGTCCAGCGACTTAGCCATAACGCTAACTGCTGGTCCCAAGGACCTATATATTTTTATTTTACTTGTTCAAGTCTGCAGTACTTCTACCTTCCAGTAGGCTTAATGACCATAACTGTAATTACTACATGGAAATATACAATTGTTATTAGATTAATGACTACAGATTATTACCTAGTTCTAATGTAGTATTACAGCTTTTGAAATTAATTGCCAGCCAAAAGAAAGTTGTTCTAACATACATATAATATACTGTTTTTAAAATGAAATTAATACATACACATAGAAAAAAAGTTGGACTCCTTGAAGAAAGCAGGGTAAGTAATCTATTTTAGATTACAGAATACAGGACCACAGCAATTGACAAAAATATCTTAATTTTCTAAAACAAATGAAAAATTTTATTTTGTTTTATAAAATTTGACTTTTAATTATGTTGTGTCTAAAACTATTCTCTAAGATATGTTGCCAAGGTAATATTTTGGAAGGTAGAAACACACCTAAAAATGAATGCTAAAACTATTGTTGAGTTTTGCTTTTATTCTCAAGTCACTTTCTTTCCTCTTTGTCTTCATTAATAAACAGTGTATTAGTTTCTCTTGCTGCTATAACAAATCACCTTAAATTTAGTGCTTTAAAACAACACAAATGTATTGCATTAAAATTTTGTTAGTTCACAGGCATCGTATGAATCTCACCAGACTAAACATGTGGGCATGCTGTTTTAGGCTCCAGGAGAAAATCTACTGACTGATTACCTGGGTGGTTGGCAGAATTCAGTTCCCTGCAGTTGTAGGACTGAGGACTCATTTTCTTACAGGCTGTAAACTGAAGGTTATTCTACTTTCTAGAGGTTACCACATTTGTTAGCGGTGGTCACTTTTTTCCTCCATCAAAGATAGCAATAGCCAGTTGAGTCTTTCTCACTTTTCATCTCCTGACTCACTGTTCTTTCCTAGTCTTCTATTCTTTTTTTAAAAAGAATGATTTTATTTAACTAACTTTCTTTCTTTCTTTCTTGCTTGCTTGCTTGCTTTTAATTTGACCAGAGAGAGACAGAGAGTGAGAGAGAGAGAGCGAATGAGGGACAGTGAGAAAACAAGCTGCCAGGTGCAGGACTCAAACTATGGTCGACCATGAGGGAGTCCAAGCCCTTAACCACCATACCACATGGCAGCCCGTAGTCTTCTATTCTTAAAAATTTATACAAAAGGACTTTTAAAAGTTCATGAGAAAATGGAATTAAAGTACAGGTTTATTTTAGTGTACATTTTTTAAAAATCAGCATACAGTGCTTTCATAATACATGTTTACCATGAACTTTTTGTGACAATTCCACTGGGCTCACCCTGAATAATGGCCTTATTTCATGGTCCTTAACCTGAATCATCATATCTGCTAGCCTTTCTTTTTTTTTTTAACCATGTAACATAACATATTCAGAAGTTTCAGGAATTAGGATGTGGGCATCTTTAGATATGAAACCATGTTTCTCCCCACTAAAATTGGATCAGCTTCCTTTTCTATTTATAATACCTCTAACTTTTTCCTCTTGATTCCGTGGATACAAAAGGGATGCTGAGATTCAGAATCACTAAGGTGTTATATTAAATATAATATCTATATGGAAATTCTAGGGGAAACAGATTATGGAGACATTGAAGAAAGAAAACAGGCTTTCAGAGTGTCACTTTGAGAAAGGGAGAGTCTTGTGTAATTTTGTGAGTTTATATTAACCGTCCTAATCTTTAGTACATGTTCTAAGGCCCGTAGTTATTTACAGAGCCATGGGGAAAAAATATTTTAGATAATCAGTAGTTTCCAAGATAAAAAGATATTCACTCAGAACAATAACCTGCAATAGTTATCAAAATGTATATCAGTTTTGATAATGAAAGACATTATGTTATTTCTCTCCTTAGATCATCACGAAGTATGTATATGAGCTCCTGGAGAAGGAATGTAATTTGAAAAAAATCTCTATCCCAGTAAGTCCAATTTTTAACAATGTTTATTCTATTATAACTTAAATGTTTACTTCCAAGTGAAATCGCTTTTTTCAGTTTAGAAGATAACTTCTGTTTTAGGCGAACTGATAACTTTAAATGCAAAGATTCTAGTATGTTGGTATTGGTAAGATTAAAGTATATCTTATCTCATTTTTCATAGTATTTCTCAGAAATAACACGTGTTAGTGTATTACTAGTGTGAGGGGAAGAAATACTGATTTCCAAATAGTTTTGACAATGATGACTCAACTAAAAGGATTACTTTGCCCTCTGTCCTTTCTTGTTTCACTGGAATAATGTATTTTTTCTTACTTATTTGAAATAAACAAATGCCCTTTCTGTTGCAATATTCACTGTCATTTAAAATGTTTCTTGATATTTGGGACCTGCAGGTGGCATGCTGGTTAAGGCACTGGACTCCCACATGGCCAACTGCAGTTTGAGTCCCAGACCTGGCAACCGGCATTCTCACTTTCTTTCTCTCATCAGATTAAACAAACAAACAAACAAACAAACAAAAATATGAATAAAATTTTTAAAATATTTAAAATTTTCTTGATTTTTAAAAATTAGTTTTATTTCTACTCATGTTTCCTCTGCATATTCCCAAATTCTTTCTTGATGCTTCCTATTTTATAACATTGCTCTTTTTTTGGAGGGGAAGCAGAACATTATTTGAAGTTTTTCACATTTGTCATTTAGGAATGAAAAAATTTGAGATTTGTATTTAGACTCAAATTAAAAAAAACTTTTATTTTTTTTTAATGTTTTTTAAAGAATTATTTATTTACTTTTATTTGTTTTCATTTGACCAGAGAAAGACACACACAGAGAGAAAGAAAGTGAGAAAGCAAGCCACCAGATCCAGGACTCAAACCGTGGTCAGCCATGTGGGATTGCCCAGTGCCTTAACCACTACACCACCTGCTGGCCCCAAAAACCTTTTATTTATATTGTAAAACATGAAATATGTTAAACTTTCAAATGAAGAAATAGCAACTCATATGTGAAATGAAGGTTGGATTAAATTGGATGGTCTTTGCTATCCCTGATAACTTTCTGATTCTATAGTATATAATAATTTGGAAAGCTTGATGAAAGTAATTAATTTAAGGCCCAAAACTTTGAATATAGGTCATTTCATTTGCCTGGAATTTTACAAGAGGATGTTACAGTTTCTTGGGTCATGTTATTTTATTTTAAGTGAGAGGGTTCATGACTTATCTTAATACTATTCATCTCACAAGTGATACCAAAGCTCATCTTTTTTTAAAAAAATCTATTTTATAAGGTAGCCCAAACCTCAAGAATTGGGCTACATTATTAGTCATTTATTTAAGGATCTCTTAGGTGATCAGCACTGTTCTAAGTGCTTGTGACTTACTAGTGAATAAAACATTATTCTGTGTAATAGGTAGACTAACCCTTGATTTATTTAGACAGTTTCCTTTCTTTGGAAATATACAAAAGCCAACATTTTAGTACCTTTTGGGAATGAATATGCCAGCCTTTTCCAATTTAAGCTTCTTGTTTTAGTTTTGGCTTTTGGGCTAGTATCTTACGATATACTAAATTGGGTGTTTTGGAAAGTCATGGTAAAATTTTGTCACTTTGACTGTTCTTCATTTTTTGTTAATTTTATTTCTTTCCGTTTCTAAAGAAAGATATTTAGGGAACCAGCAGTTAGCATAATGGCTATGTCGCTGGACTCCCATGTAGTCGACCACGGTTCACGTCCTGGACCCGGTGGCTTAAAACTCACGCCGGGCGCGTGTGCATGCGTGCCCAAGATCCTGAGAGGAGAATGGAGGAGAAGGGATTGTGGCGTGACCATCCCCCCTGGAGGGTGATTTCTCGCTTTCTGTCTCTATGTCTCTCTCTGTCTGGCTGGCGAGCGCACACCCCTGTAATGAAAACCTCTCCAAAAAGAAAAAAAAAAAAAAAGGAAAAGAATGATATTTAAAGAGCCTTAGGTAAATTTGCTGATAGAATAATTTAATATCAAGTCCTTTAACTCTACAATACTTCTAGTTCTGTGGAACCCTTAATTTCACTTCTATCACCAGATTTCTAGAAGAAATCATAAGACAATTGGCTGTATGGGTTATGCTCTATGATTAAGCTTCACTGATTTTCATCATAGAAAACCTGAGGTTTATTTGGTAGATCTAATTATTATCCTCTCATTTGAAATTTAGACTGATATATTTCATAAACATGTAGAGAGAGTTACATTATATGAGGTCTGAAAAAGCACCATGCCCATGTTTGGTGAGTAAAGGTTTCCTTATTCTGTAAGCTTCAAAGCAAATTTTTTCTGAGGAAATGAATATCTCTCCTTAAATTATCACATATTTTATATATTGGATCAAAAGGAAAGTCATGTGCATTTTCACGCAGAAAAATACATCATGAATTTCCCAACAACTTAATAGTAAAGTTTTTCTTCAGTGGTTATTATTTTTTTCCCATTTAAGTTCTCTTAAATCCCAGATTTGTCAGTGGGTATGCTTTTGTTTTCTATTTTGTAGAGCTGATCATTTTACTAAAAGAATTCTACCATACTTCTTTCCCCTGATGATGAACTAAGTCTTAGAATTAGAATATTTTAAAAGAAAAATAAAACTTTTTTTAAAAATGACAGCACTTTCTAGAAACCCATTTGACAGTACAGATCATGATCACGTCTTAGGTTTACTCCACATGTCACCTAAGTTGGTACAACATAGTCTCAATTGTACTATCTCAAACTTGTGTAAACTGTTGGATAAACATATTGGTAACTTAAGTATTGGATACATGAGTTAATAATTTGAGTATACATTTTTAATTCTGTTTATTACTACCTATTGTTTAAGTGAAATATTACAATTAATGTGGTTTATGTGTATCTAAAAATCAATTGTTAAGTGCTAATACTGTTTGTTGCAATCTCACTGACCAAATAGTGTTTGAAGCTGATTTGTCAATAAACTGAGGTGGTGTGCTGGAATGACCTTTATGTGTATGTCTCTCTCTCTCTCTCTTTTTTTTTTTTTTTGAGAGAGAGATTTTTGCTATAGCACATGTGCACTTGTCAGAGAGACAGAGAAACAGAAAACAAGAAATAATCCTTCAGGGGAGATGGCCATGCCACTGTCCCTCTCCTCCATTATCCTCTTTGAGTTTAGGGCACTCACGCACACACACCCAATGTGTGTTTTAAACCAATGGGTCCGAGATTCAAACCACAGTCGATCATGTGGGAATCCAGCAACAAAACAATTATTCCATCTGCTGGTCCCTATGTGTATTTCTTCATGAAAGCCTAACTTAATGGATTACCTCTGTTTAAAGATAAATGGCCTAGGAACAGCCATTTCCAAATGTAATGAGGACAATCAAGAACAATTTACTTTATTTGTAAATATTTATTTTAAACTTTACTGTTTAAAATTAGTACTAACTTTATTTAGAGTAAATAATAGTTCCCATGAACAGAATCTGTTTTAAATTAAAATAAGTAGTATCTAATGACCAGCTCAAATATTGCTTTTACCCCTTAATCATGAATATTATTACATTGTTTTCATTAATGTTTTTCCTTCAATATTCTGATATTCTCATATTTCAAAGTTAACTTTTCTGGATGTTTAAATTTGTTTATTTATAGCTGTTTTAATTTATAGACTCGTAAATATTCTTAAGTATTACAATATTTAAAAAAATACACATCATCTCTCTCTTTAGAAAATAAGTATTCATCCTTTTTTTTTCATCTTTTAAGAGAGAGATTATTGCTACAAGGTGCACACACTTGTAGGAGAGACAGAGACAGAAAGTGAGAAATCACCTTCCCAGGGATTATGGGCATGCACACATACGTGCCTGGCGTGAGTTTTAAACCGCTGGGTCTGGGACTTGAACTGTGAGAGTCCAGTGACATAATCATTATGCCATCTGCTGCTTCTAGTATTCATCCACTTAAAGTGATTACTCTGGAATTCAACATGGCAACATTCCATTGCTTAAAGAACAGAATCAGTTCCTGGGTAACAAGGGTCTTAGTCAAAGAGAAAAAAGAGACAGGGATCAGCACCTACTGGAAAGTCTGTAGCTACAGGGTTTTTTTATTAAGGTAAATATAAGAGATAACTATTTCCATAGCCATGCTAGGATCCATTAAGGCCTCCCTACTTTAAGAGGCATTTTATTTGTGAGTATTTAAATGTACTCTTTGGTATTTGAATGGCTGCAAAACCTCTGTGGCTCGTTTTTTTATTGTAGAATGGCAGGTTTGCTCTTAAATTTTTTACTCTACCTACCATTTTTTTCTTGCCTTTTTTTTTTTTTTTTTTTAGCTACTTTAACTGAACGTTTTTTTCTGTTTTCATGTACTGTTTCTGGTAAAAGGGAATTTTTCTTCTTAGGTTTGATTTTTTTACTGTCTCTCATTCACTTCTCTTTCTGTTCGACTTCAGTCATATTTGCGGTCATCACTAAGATTTGCTTACTCTGGACATAGCATGCAGGTGAAATTAATGTGATAGGGTTACATTTCTCACCTTTTCCCCTGTGTTCTTATTTACTATTACTAATGTTACAGTTATGTTAATTCTTAACATTCTTCAGCCCTTTAAAAATTTTTTGTAGTTAATACATTAATTTTTAGTATATGCTTTCTGAACCAGGCAAGTATTATAACCATTTAAGAGGATGCGTTATTTAGTTAACTGTCTTTTATCTAAAAGAAGGCACAGGTGATGCTTTATAACATTTCCTATTCCTAAAATGTAACCATTCCTTTATTTACTGGGCACCTACACTGTGCCAGGCTCTGTTCTAGGGTCAGGGACGATAGCTGGATACGAAACAGAGAACTCTGTGCCTTCCTGGGCCTATGCCAGTGGAGGGATCTGCAGGTGGATAAATAAATATACAAACAAAACATAAACTACAATATATTAGCTCATAGAGCGTGCTCAGGAAGAGAATGAAAGAGGGACAGGGACCAGGGAGTTAGGGATGTATTTGGACTTTTTTATATAATAGTTTTATTGTAATTTCTAATTTACACGTAATCGTACATCTTTGTGAGGTACAATGTTGGACTTCAGAGTATGTATACAATATTAATACACATCAAGGAAATAAACCTACTCACCACCACCACATTGGCCTGCACATTTGAAATTTGCTCTACTGGCTATTTGGAGATAACTATTAAACTATTAAATCACCACTTTCTTTGCTGTTGCAATATTCTGTACCCCATTCCACTTATTTACATGTACTTTTGTATCTATTAAGTGGGGCAGTCTGGGAAGATCTCACTAAGGTGATACTTCTTTTTAAGCCCTGCGTTCATGTTATTCTTGATGAAATAACTGCCATTTGGACTCGGTTTCACAAATGCCTAAGCAGCTATTACTGAGACCAGTCTGATTTCAAAGCAGAGATTTTCATATTTATCTTTCTAGGCATAGTCACTGGAAATATTTAGAATTCAGGGCTTTTTTTTTTCTGTAGCTGGAATTTCTGTGTACTTATTATTTTGATCATTGTATATAAATACAGTGTCGACAGAGGGAAGCCCCGTCGTATTACACAGCCCGTGGCTGACCTTCTCTACGTGGGGGTGTGTTACTAGCTATCAGGACTTGGTTTCTGACTCTGACCTGCAGAAAGGTTTCCATTACCTTTAACTGGCCACTGCTGCTATGGACTGTCACTCAGTGTGTGCATGGCATATGTAATAAAAGGTTGGGAAGTTATTTCTTCCAAAAGTCTTTAGTGTCTTTCAAGTCAAAATGACGCACCATTTAGTTAAAAACCTAAATATTATGTACAAAGTCAATAAAAATAGTCACTTTTCATCTCATCAATAACTAGCACACAAAATAAGGTTCTTGGAGTATGCTCATAGCATAAGGTCATTGTTACGTACTTGTGTTCACATTCTAAGTAGAATTTGAAAATTCGTTCACATAGAACAGTAGGTGTTCGAATTTTTCAATGGTTCCTCTTCTTCCCTTTAAAAGTTTGGTAATATTCCTGGTTGATGCATGATTTCCATTATATACTACATGTATCTTCCAAAGGGGTTTTCTATTTTCTGCTGTAGGTGCAGTATATTTCCATTACAGAATTGTAGGCTTAATAGCTATGTGGTGTCTGATAACTTATTTTAACCCTATAAGCCTCAATTTCTTCATCTATAACTAAATACAATAACAAAACCACCTTAATGGAATTGTGATTAAAGGAGATCATTTATTAAAACAGCATGCTGTTTAGAGCATAGAAAGCACTCAAAACATTCATTTTTCTTATTTATAATGATAATGTATATCATACAGATTGAACATCCCTAGTCTAAAACTCCAAAATGCTCCAAAATCTGACACTTTTCAAAAATCAACATGATCCTACAAGTTGGAAAATTCCACACCTGACCTCATGCGACATGGCAGTCCAAATGCTCCATACTCAAATAGTGTGTAAAACTACCCTCAGGGTATGATGATAAAGTGTATATGAAACGTAAAATGAATCTTCTCTTTAGACCTGGGCCCCATCCCCAAGTTATTTCATCGTGTATGTGCAAATATTCCAAAATCTGTAAAAAATCCAAAATCTGAAATACTTTGGGTCACAAGCATTTTGGGTCAGGTGTAGTCAACCTATACAAATATATAGTAATGATGAATGGAGACATTATTTGTAATATTCTTTTTCATAGTTTTGTATTTAAATTGTGATCATGTCTTGCTTATCCACATAATATACAACCATTAAACTGTACTGAATATTTTAATTTCATTTCAAAGTTGTTCTTTAATATTTATTTTGTAATAACCATTCAGTAATTTATAGTAGCCATTAGTTCTCTCATTTATGTGCATGCTGATCAGAAAACATTTATTTATTATTTATTATTTTTTTTTAATTACAGGTAGATGCCACTGAGAGTGAACCAAAGAGTTTTATCTTTATGAGTGAGGATGCTTTGACAAATCCACAGAAACTGATGGTTTTAATTCATGGTAGTGGTGTTGTCAGGGCAGGTCAGTGGGCTAGAAGGCTTATTATAAATGAAGATCTGGACAGTGGCACACAGATACCTTTTATTAAGAGAGCTGTGGATGTAAGTGCAACTTTATTTTTTTGACATTTTATAATTCTGTTTTATTATATGTTATATTACTTTAGCAAGTCTCTTCAAAAATATATCCTAAGCATAATCATATCTACCAATGGTTATTATATATTTTACTTGTATCAAAGATTCTTCTGAATTATTTTGCAGTTGCAAAAATCAGTGATGTCTTGCGCGTACAAAGAGTTCAGTGTCTTTGAAATGAATAGTTTAGATTTAAAAATACTTTTGCTTTTTAATTATAGGAAATAGTAAATGGCAAATATTGATCAATATTGAATATATCTGACAAAAAATCATAGCTACTTTTGTAAACCTAGGCCTATTTCATTTACTTTAATAAACTAAAGAAGATCTGCTACTTTAAATTAATCCCTTATTCTTTAAAAGAAGAGTTGAAATAGCTGAATGTTTGTCATTTCTTTCAAATAATCTTGAAGCTCACAAATAGATTGCTTTAAGTATAAACATAGTTGTACAAAATGGTAAATCATAGTGTTTTTTAGTATTTTTATTTGAACTCCAAATTTTAGAAACTGGTTCTCTAAAATTTGTCCAAGCTCTTCTCTTCTATAATCGTGAACTTGTTTTTCTGACCTAGCATTGTTAGATCTTAATGTTTTACTACTTCATTCTACCATCTCATTCTCACATCTGCAATGGAGAGCCAAATTTTGCAAAGTATGGGTTTCTCTCACATGTAATTTGCTCAGGAAAAGTGAAGTGGCACCTTGTCTAAGATTTAATGTAAGAAAGTGAAGTTATTTAGGGATGTGTATTCATATACACTTTGTTTCATTTCTAAGATCTATATTATTACATCCTTGTAATTAATATTGGAAAGGAATTGTTTGATACTCCAATGATTACAGACGTTAAAAATATGTTCTCTATTCTGTTTTCTTTGAAGTGATTATATGAAGACTCAGCCTAGCTCCTAAAAACATATTTTTATTAATAGATTTTTGAAACCCTTAAAATGCTGCATGTAGAAATTCTTAAGATTAATTGTATATATTTCCAGTCGTCATGCATATGCAAAGAACACAAAGACTTTTCTTTTGGTTTGCTTGCTAATGTCAGTAGTGTGTTTTTAGTAGAATTGAAGTAACAAAAATAAAGTTTAGAATGAAGTAACTCACAAAACATGTTATATTTAGACTTTCATATTTCAGGTTATGAATAGTAAAATGAACTTTCTCTCTCTGACACATTAGTTTGTGGTTAGAACAGATCCTGTCTGTGTATTTTAGGAATAACATTATATATGAAATGTGTTCACAATTCAATGAGTATTTGAAAATAAAACTTAGTAAGGAATATCAGAGGCTTTCAACATGTCAGTGCTTGCTGAAATATTTTATGTAATAATATTGTGCCTACTGTAGATCACCTAAAGGTTTCCTATTCTAGAATATGTTGCTGTTATAAAGGTTTCTGAGGTGAAAGAATATATGGGAAGTCTTGCCAAAACATCTTTGAACAAACTGTCTATTGATATCCTAAACAGGAGGTAGGAACTTGCTAGTAACATTAAAACCATGAGCCATTTTGTTCTTAAAAGTGGGAATAGTGTTTGGGGGATAACAGCATTTCACTGCCTTGACTTTTTCCTGCTTTTTTCAATAATGGCAACTCATGATTCTTTGAAAAGAAGCCGCTGAGGCTCAACCATGGTGGAGCAGGTGGTAAGGGCATTGCTTTGTGTTGCTATAGGCTGTGTGGGAAGTTGCCAGGTCTGTTCTATGAGTGAGCGTGCTCCATGCACCTGTGGCACGCCTCTGAACCCGGCTGGCTGAGGCCTAGGGGAGGATTGCACAGTGAGGTCCCTGATGAGGGTGCATGCCCTTCTCTCTCTCTAAAATGCACACAAAGCAAATTAATAAGTAAGTGAACCTTTTTTTTCCTTAGGTTTTTGCCATAGGGCACACGCACTAGCCAGAGAGAGAGCGATTCAGTAAGAGGGAAAGTGAGAATTCACCCTAGCCAGGGGGACGGGGGTGGTGGTGGTGGTTGGGGGTGGTTGGGTGAGTTGGGGGGGTTTGTGGGTGGGGGGGTTAATGCAGATTTCCTGTTAGCTCACCTGATTTGAGTTCTGTGTGTCTCCCTTTCCCTTCTGTGGTATAAAGTTGATTTCTCACAGTCTAGTTCTTATTATGAGACAAAATCACAGTTTAAAGATCTTACTTGGCCTTCTTTGTGATTCTAGAATTGGCAACACTTCACTCCATAAAATAGAGTGAGTGTTCTGATGAGCTGACCAGAAGAAGTTGGTTTTATAAGCAGAGGCAGAACCAAAGAAAACAGAAATAAAAAGTGGATTGGCCATTTCAGTTATTTCTTCATAAAGTTGAGACAGAAAGACAGAGCAATAGAAAAATCATTGATGGGACCATCAGTTAGTGTAATGGCTATATCCCTGGACTCCCATGTAGCCAACCATGGTTCAAGTCCCAGTCCCAGCAGCTTAAACTCACACCGGGCATGTGTGCGTGCATGCCCAAGATCCCTTCCCGAGAGGAGAATGGAGGAGAAGGGATTGCGGCGTGGCCATCCCCCTGGGGGGGTGATTTCTTGCTTTATGTTTCTCTGTCTCTCTCCGTCTTTCTGGCGAGTGCACATGCCCTATAGCAAAAACATCTCCAAGAAAAGAAAAGAAAAGAAAAATCATTGATTGGTTACCATCAGGTTACTTTAGGTTACTTTTTTAAATAAGGATTGAAGCAGAAGGAACTTTATCATCCTGCCTACTGAAACTGGCATGTTTGAGAAATGTGGCCATTGTCCTTCCTGCTATCTCAGAAGGGCAGATAACTTAGTTTCAGTTTTAGTGTGAGTGACTCCATTTTGGTTGTTAGCATCATCTGTTGGGGTCTAGTGCAAGAGTCCAAAACAATGGTCTTCTGTAAGTTGTCCTCTTTTTTGTTGTTTTTGTTTATTTTTAGAAAAGGTCTTGCTATGTCATAACCCTCCTGCCTCAGCCTCTGGAGCAGCTGAGCCTGTCAGTGTGCACTATCATGCCTAGCTTTTTCAGAAAGGGCCTTGCCATGTTTCCCATGCTGCTCATGATCCTTCTCCCCCAGCCTCCTCCAGATGGTTGGGAGTACACGTGCACGTCATTGCACCCAGCTTTTAGGGCAGAGTGGGAATTGCATCTGGGCAGCCCATGTGGCTCCAGCCTGCCAAATAGCAGTGGCCAACCAGCACATGCTACCTCAACAATCCCTCCTATAATTTTTATTTAACATCCTTCTCTGAGTAGGTTTCTATAAAGACAAAACCTCTTGTCTCTTATAGGCTGGCCACACAATGTGAAATTGTGACCTATTGTTTTGTTTGTTTTATTTTGTTTAGGTGGTAGTAGCAGAATATTGTACCTTCCTTGAACTTAGAACTAGTGCCTTAACTTTTAGCCTGAAGGCCTACGCCTACTTTCTGAGGTCAATTGGTGCCTCAATTTCTACGTCTTACCAGACTTCAGTGGGTGAAATTGCTTGTTTCTAGATATCCTCTCTCCCTGAGGCATTTAAGTTTGAATTTCTACTGTCATGCCAAGCCAGTATCTACTTCTCCATCAGCTTACATTCTTACAAAATTTATTTACATCCTCTATACTCATTTCTCATTTGTTTTGTTCTGATGGTTGAACACCACCCCTCTTTATTTTTTCACTCATTTTGTAACATACACTGATAGTGGTGTTCACAGGCTTAGTCTACATGGGAGGCCCAGTTTCAATTTCCAGCCCCCCTAAACACTGGGCATGGTAGTGGGCAAGCTGTAGTTCCTTGGGAGGCTACATGAAGAGGATTATAACATAGGCAGACCCTGCATTTAAAAAAAGGAAAATGAAAATGAATCCAGTGGAGCATTTTAATTACATTCTTTTCATGTGATTGTGTTTTTTTGTTTGTTTCTTTTTCTCCTGGAGATTTCTGCTATAGGGCACGTGTACTTACCTTAGAGACAGAGAGTGAGAAAGTGAGAAATCACCCTTCCAGAGAGGATGGACATGCCACAGTCCCTTCTTCTCCTTTCTCCTCTTGAGATTTTGGGCACACACACACACACACACACACACACACACACACACACACACCTCCCTGGTGTGAATTTGAAGTCGCCAGGTCTGGGACTCGAACCGTGGTCAGCCATATTGGAGTCCAGTCCATAACCACGATGCCACCTGCTGGCCCCTTTATGTGTGTGGGTTTGTTTTTTTTTTTTCCCTAGGAGGTTTCTGCTCTAGGCCACTTGTGTTGGTAGGAGAGAGAGAGACAGTGAGATATCACCCTGGTGGGAGAGGGATGGCCATGTTACAATCCCTTCTCCATTTTCCTCTTGGGATCTTTGGCATGCCCACACTCGCATGTGCCAGGTCTGGAACTCAAACCACAGTTGACCATGTGGGAGTCCAGGGATGTAACCACTATGCCCTCTGCCGGCTCCGTACGTGGTTGTTTTAATGGCAGGCAGTCATAACTTGTCTCTTTAAAACAAATAATGTTAAAGGAAATTTCTGTACAACCAAATGCTTTGTAAACCTGAGGAGATAATTCTCTCATATTGCAATATTCCTCACACTAAAATATTTTAAGGTTTTCTCTTAGATATTATTATAACGGTGGTAAAGAATATTTAAAATGTTACTTGATTATGGTATGAATTACATACTTTTTGAAAGTTCCGATGGAGATGGTTTTTAGTTTTGTTTTTTAAGTTTATGCATTTATGTCTTCTGTCAGAGAGAGAGAGAGACACAGAGACAGGGCCTTCAATAGTGTCCTCACACCATAATCACACCACTGTTGGCGGTGTCCTCACACCACCAGTCCCTTTGGCCTGGATCACGGGCACACATGCATACCTCTGATGTTGTCAGTAATGTTGCTGATGTGAAGCCAGGACCTCTCCCATGTCGTTCCAGTTATGTGACCACTGTACCACTGTCTAGCCCTGAATTAGAGTTTTGTAAATTTTAAATTATT